ATTTAGCAAAACATAATATCTATTTGTATTAATATATTTTGATTTTAATATTCAAGTGTTACATGGGTTATCTGGGTTACTTTCTTTTTGTTTGTTTGCTCTTTCTTTTTTACTTCTTTTCCTTCCTTCCTTCAGATTTTTCCTTCATAAAATCAAACTTATTTTACTGATTTTGTCATAAGAAAAGGTTTCCAGGTGCTATTTTAGTGAGCCAAAAAAGACATAAATATGCCTTTCTTTCCCTGATATTTCATGTGAATGACATAAACTAAATTAGTCAGTCCCAGGCCATATGTGTTCCTAAATCTGATTGATTCATCACAGTTTTAGCCCAACTGTTAACACTTGAATCTCATGATTAAAATCATAAAAAGGTTAGTTTTAGGAAGTGTTATAAAGTATATTTGATTGAATTATTTGTTTTTCCATTTTATCCACCGTATTCTTGATCATTGTATTTATTTATTTTTTTGTTCCTCAGTGCTCGATCTCTAAAATAGTTCTTTTTACCTGTGCATGCAGCACATAGTACACTTGTATGAAAATAGATTTATTGATTGATGCTGTGTCTCCTTGTGCATTTGAAAAAGCGGCAGCGTTAACAAACAAGAACGAGGACAAAGACTGAGCAATGCGGACACAAACCCATTAACACTTGAACACATGCTAAAAGACGCGCGATTTGGCTGACAAGGACAGGAAGCGTGATGAATAAGCAGGCGTCGTGGCGGATGGCAGTGGGGCCACAGCAGACCGCTGCACAGAGATGTTTCCCTTTATTTGGTGACCTGTGTTCTTCAAACTGTGGCGTGATGACTGACCTTCCACTAAATATAGAGAGAGGACATTTTTCTTTCTTCTGTTTTCAAAACTCATCTGAAAAAGGGCAAGAAGGAAACACTGACCCTCTGTCTAATTTCCTGAGCTGCTGCTGTAAAGTCAACATTCTTCATAAAACTGAACCATGTGGAGTAACGAACAGATTTCTCTGTGAGAACAATGGAACTTGGAGATAATAATGAAAACAATAAAATATCCAAAGACAGCAAGAACATGCACGCCAATGTTTCAAGAAATGGATAAATGTGAAGCGTGTTGTTCGTATTTGCTGGCAGAGCGGAACCAGAGAAAGGAAAAACCAACATGAATGACTAGCTTGAGTGCTACCACTGCTCTATTGTTAAAGTTGAAGTCCTCCCTTCAAGCATCTTGCAGACAGAAATAGCAAACGGGACACCGTAAACAGGAAACAGGACAGAGGTTTTCAGTATGCCATGTGTTTTAAGTGAATGTGTTTGTGTGTTACTTCAGCTTCCTGCCATCTTTCATTCACCGATCCTCTCACATTACCGTTTTCACTTTTTTATAACTGCATTTCCGAATCTTCATGTAGCTGTGATGCAGTCAAAGGAAGTCAGGAGAGCTCTTATTTACCACGGTGAAAAGTTGTTTGCCCGCAAACTTTATTGACAGATGACATTTTTAATATAATGTAGCAAAGATGACCCAACATAATGCAACAAGCAGTCTGCAATTTATTATTTGAATTTCAAAGCAAAAATATTAATAGAAATAATGATCTGAAAAAGGAAACAGGACCTGAAAAACCATTGCATTACATTTCAATTTACACAAATTTAATAAAAAAATAAAACAGATGAGAAAAAATTTAATTGAAAAAAACAAAAACACTTAATAAAAATGGAGCTGAAGCAGAACTAAAACCAAAACCAATATCGAGCCAACAGACACATACCTACTGAAATATCTCAAAAACTTTTACAAAATACTCTTTAGATTGGCAAGTCAAAACTAAGATGTTTTGGAAGGTGTTCCCTCATTTTTTGTACTGTAAAATTAACAGAGGAAGATGGTAGAAGCAGCTGTCACACCTGGATGTGAGGGAAAATTTCCAATTTTTGGCCTTAAGCTGAGATGTGCCTGTAAGTTTTGGAGCGGCCTACTTAACGTCAAGATTTAAGTCAGATTGAAAAAACACACCACTGTGTTTTGATAAAACAATTTATCAAAGAAGATGGGGTCAAAATCCTCCAAAGTGATGCCAAAGATTTATAATCAGCTACTGATTGATTCTAGTTGTTGCTGCCAAGGGAAGGCACAACCAGTTAATAGTTTTTAGGAATTTCAATTTTTAACAATTTTGATTTGAAAGCCTCTTTTTGTATTTACTCACAACATCCTTAAGGTCTCAAACACTTAAGTGTGTCTAAAAATATAATTAAAAAAAGCACAAAGCAAACAGTCAGACTCTGGGAAGATGATTAACGTATATCTCAGAAATATTTGCCCAAATGCTAAAAAGTTAATCATCTTGGAGAACAACAGGGAGGGAAGTGCAAAGGAGATCTTCAAACGTTTTATCTCTGTTTTCTTGGACTAGCATTTAGTTGGCAGTGTTATTTATCAGAGTGCAGCAGTGGAATAAACACCTCTGTGATTATGCGTCTGAGAAGCAAACAAACAAATCAATAAATGATGAAATGCATCCTCCAAAGATTAAAGTAATCCAGGTTACGTGCAGGGACTGCTCTGTTCGATGCTGCTGTCCCAGGGTGAATTCCTAGGCCTGGGCCATTCACTGCATGTCCCTGTCCTTCTTCCTCTACAGATAATAATTACTAAGGACACTAATGTCCCACTAGCTGCCAGTACAGTGTAATATGATCTCAAATTTACATGCAACAAAGGAGCAAAAACTGTAAAAATCTTCAAGGGACCAAATACTTTTTCCCAACCCACTATTTATTTCTTACTTTTCATTTATTGTTCCATTTTTCATCCCCTAAAATTATTTAATTTGGTTTTAAATGTGCTGTCAAAGCCTGCATTACATCACTTTGGATAAGCTCATCCCAATTAAATTTATGTGCAGAAGCACACAAAATGACACAAAAGACACACTCTGTTGTGGGCAAATCATCTCTTTATCAAGTCTTCACACCCTATTGCACTTATTAAGGGAGTGATGCATAACAGCAGACTGGTGACAGCAGCTAAAGTATTAATGTAAAGGGTGGGACTTCCTCATGAGCTGAGCAGCAGACTCCTGTCTTCTGGTTTTTGTCTTCTGCACTTTGAATTTGTGTCTGCATGTTCAACACATGGAAAAAAGGTTTCTGACCTACTTTCACCCTGTTTGTAATCTTGTTCATCTGCGACTTCCTTTTATTTTTATTTTTATTTTTTTATTAAACGGAAGAAGGAAGCAGGGGAGGAAAGTGGGTGGTTTGCTAAATATGCTAAACCATAAATGAAACTTAAAAGGCCTACTCAAAGCTCAAATGGGACTTGCCCCGACAACCGGTGAACAAATGTGTCGAGCGACTTCTTCAAATTTATGCGAAAGAGAGATTAAAGTTATTTCCATAATATAATTACACCAAATAAAATGTCATGCCTGATACTGTTTGATATGCCCTTTTTAATTGAAGTGTCATGCATATTTTGTAGAGATCCAGTTGATTCAGGTTTTGTGAAAGTGGACCGATATCTGACCAGTGTTTCTGGTATTATAATTTGCCAGAAACAACTACTTGATTTATTGAGATGGCTAATTGCTTCTAATTAGAGACTCTCTGAGGTAAAAGAAGATTTCATTGCTACTTTACAAGCAGTGGGTGCTTCCATCAGTTTTTACCAAAGCAGCAGACCAGTGAGGAGCAGGAGATGTTTACAACCCAAGTCCAAATAGAAAATCAATTGTTCATGTGCAAAGATGCCGCCAAGCTGACTGTGCTGTTTTTCTTCATATAAAATAAACAACTGCATGAAAATACGACATTGGGTTTTATCTTTTAAATCATGTCTGGGCTTTTTAGTTGCAAATGTTTTAGTATTTCTTTCTGTTATGTGGTTGTGTGTCATGTTTCTGTGTAGTGTTTTTTTGGTGAAAAATCCCAGGTCAGAATGCAGGTGCACAAATACCTTGCTCACCTTGCTTTGCTACATATTTCCATTTTTACTGAGTTCTTGACCCTCTCATGAAATCGTCTTTTTTACGTCAACTATTGCAATTTTACAAATTATGCAAGTGGCAGGACGTCCACTAGCTACTTTTTCTGCTGAGCCACATACAACAGTGAGTGACTAAGAGGTTAATTATCTGAGCACAAGTTGCCTAAATTTAAAAGTTCAAAGTTCAAATTGAATCACTAACTCTATTGTCAAAGCTGCTGTATCAGCTAAACTTCAGCTGCAACTTTAAAACATTCAGTTATATAACCACATTCTGCTGATTTTGGACAGATGTGGATATTAAAAACAGGTAGATTGTTGGTTCTCAATCAACATCTATTTTTGGGAGTTTTTTATAAAATGAAAATATGAATGTTTGGGTTATGCAAGACGTCCCAGTTCCGTTTAATGTTTTTACATTGCACAGTTTAACATTCCCTGAAACTATTTAGAAAATAAAGCCAGAGCCGATTAGTTTCAAATGTACGTTCTGAACCATTTCCAGTTCTCTACATTTAGTAGAGTCACCAGTTAAGAAGAAATTCACTTTCCACTCTATAAGCTCTTCTTTTTCTGGTCTGCTCCTATTTTTCTTTTTTTTTCATCTCTCTTCTTTTCAAGTTATAGAGGAATGTAAAAGTCCTCTGAAAAGCTGCAGGCAGCTTTGCATTCCAGCCTGTATGTCTGTGTCAGTAGGTTAGACAGGCTGGTGGAGGCTCGTGACTTCTCCAGCGACAGATGGGAACTGGACCCAGAGCAATGACCCTTTGCTTTGTCTCCACAACCTCTAAACCTCTGATCAGCTCAGTCCAACATGAGAAACACTTGCAAAGAAAAATGTATTCCATTTTTCAGTCTTGGCTTGAAAAAGATCTTGCTGTGAACGTTTACATATAAAACTATTAATGATAAAATTGAGGAAAAAGTAGGTAATAAATGAAATTAGGTTTGTAATTACATCTCTGTTGATGTTTTTTTTTTATCTAATTGCTGCCTGAATGTGACTTTTTTTGGCACAGTAAGAGCAGCAATCAACAACCACCCCAGATTTGAAGGTAAATCATTTTCAGTTGTACATCTGGAAACTTTTAAGATTCTTATTTTGAAGAAGATAAAAGGGCTATTTGTCCTTGGGATTTATGTGGTCTTTTTAAACGTGTTTTATTGTCTTTTGAGAGATGCTCTTCTCATTTTCTTTCAGAAACAAACTCTTTGGATGATGGAAATTGTATATAATTATTAATCAAGCAGGGATCTGAATGATTAAAGACTTGATATTTTTTGACAGTCTCAGTTATTAGGAAGAGAAGAAGATGTGGCTCTTGAGGTCTCCTGTTTTGATGGCGGCATCAGCTTTTCGGGTTTGCCTGGTAACATCGAAGTAGAGAACAACTGGAGAACCTCCATCAGTCTTAAACTGCTTATGAGGTAATATTTTGGTTATTCAGTAGAAAACTGCAGACAGTATGAGTGATCTGTATGAATGTTTTCACTGGCGTCATGAAAAATCCTGAATGCACACCCCCACAAGATAGTTACAATAGCTTTTAAAGCAATATCAGGCTAACAGCTGATATTTTTTTGGTTATTTTAACATTTATTGTTTTTTTGTAAAATAGAAAAATCAGACTGAAAAAATGTATTGAGGGAGTTTTAAAAAGATCTGGTGGTATGTAGAATGAGATAGAATCAGCAGTGGTTCAGCATGTGGTTTCCCCTGACGTTACATCTCCCACTTTTAACTAGCTTGTTTTTTCTCATTTACTACACCTCAGAGCACCGTAGACTTTTTAAAGATTCTGAAACCCACTAAAATTAAAGCTCAGACATACAGAGCAAAAAGATGTTTATTGTGCTTGACAATAAAGTAGAGCTTTGACCACGATTTCCTATTTCAATTTGATGACAGCTATGCAAGGCATTCACAAAATGTGGGAATCTTAAGAGCAGATACAACAAAAGAAAACAAACAGGAGTTGCTTTGACCTGTACATTAGTCACGCTGAGATTAAGTTTTTTTTAATCTGTTGAGGGGTGTGTGTTTCTTCAAAACACATTTCAAACATGTTCAAGCGCATAAGGCAACTTCAGTATGTCGACACATTCTGCAAATCCAGGCAGCAGGAGCTGAACTCTTGATTAAGCAGGAGAGAAGTGGCTCAGTGATTTCTAGATTCAATCTGAAACAAAATCGCACAGACTGACACACAGAGCAACAGTCTCCTTCAATAACAGGAATCCTGACTGGGAGCATTCCTGTCACCCAGTGTTAGTACCATTTGCTTAATAGAGCAAACAATAGTTTCTGTCAATTTCATTTTCGTAAGCTGAATGATTATAGAGCTTATCCTCTGCATTAAGTCCAACATGCTGCTTTCCCACATCCAGCAGGCATGAGTGATTCATTAGACTTTATCAAAGGAGCTGCCTGATTCTTTTAAACTCTGCTTCAGATGCTTTATGGACTTTTAACACAAACTCTTTAGTACTGCAGTGACAAATGAATTAATGTAATGCAAACACAGTGGAGTTTGCGTGTTATTGCCTCTGTTCACACGACGAACCACCCTTGCAGGTTTTGTTGCAGCATTACAGCTGATGAACCTCAGTTCAGACCTGCTCTGATTACTCGCTGCACCAGAAAATCTTCTCTGCTGTGTCATTTTTACATGATTGCTGATTCTTTGTTATGAACTCAGTGACTCCAGCTAAACAAAGACAATGCACATGGTGCCTAATATAAGGGCTGAACAAGTCAATATTTTTCATTTTAATTATCTCAAATGAAGTCACTGATATGAGATTCACAACAACCTAACAAGTCTACACATACAAAAATTTAAATAAAAGGAAATTAAATTTTATTAGAGGAAAATAACATTTAAAATGTGGAAGTGAAATTTAGAAAGTTTTCCTAATACTGCTTTCGAATCAATGTATTGTTTAATACTATCTGAAAGCCCATAAAAAGGTTTCTCTTTACGAAAGCATGTTATACAGTGGACCTTCATAAAATCTCCCGCCATTGCAAAACTTGGTATGGCAACGGTGGTAGCTGCAATGTTCAGGTAAGTGCCAGTGGAGCCATAATAATCCTGAACTGAAGAGAATATAATTTCACCGTAAAGCAGCTGCAAACAGGTGCTCCTCTCAAGAGTTTTGATGGAGAAGTTAAAAAAAAATAATCAAAAGTTATTTTTCCCAGAGCCAAGAAGCACTTGCAGCTTCAGCAAGACCTTGAAAGTCAGATATAGTTTCTGCCACGAAGATATCGAGCAATACACTCAACCACAATGGCCTTGTTCTCAACAAGATTTTGTTGAAACTTTTCGAAATCGATCCCAGGAACATAATATACACCAATATCACAACATAGCCAAAAACATGACCCTAAAAGTACATTTTTATCTTGCTCCCAAAGATTTTTTAAAAAAACAACTTAAGCTTAAGTCTGAAAAATAAATCATTAAATTATAACATCAGTATCTTTCTTAACATTTGAGTCAAGACTGGTGCTGCATTGTTGTAACACTGTTGTTTTGTTTTGATTTTTTGGTAAAAGGTGTTCTGCAGCTGAAACTGCATTGTGTTAGATTGTTTTCGTCTGTGTCTGTGTTCAGAAGTATTTTCCTATGTCAGACGGGGACTATGCAAGGTTGTTTGTGTGTCGTCTGATGTTGTGTGTCTGTGTTTGTGTGCTTGCAGGAGGAGGAAAGAGGGGGCAGTTTGCAGCAGGAGGTCGTCGAATGAAATGAAGGAAACGGGAAGGAAATGACAAATGTTTGCTCCATGAAACTGCAAACTGCCGTTCTCTCTTCACCGTCCTGTGTGGAAACTTAAGCTCACAAATACATAGTTCCACACTCTATTGTCAACGTAAAAATATATATATATATATCAACACAGTCTGTGGCAATGATTGAATGATATTAAAATGTTGATCTTGGGGGGAAAAAGACAGTAGCGATATGCTAAGAGGAAGTGGAAATAAAAGAGACTGAAGAAATGTCAGCAGATAAAGACGGAAGAAAGATGACATAGAAAATGATAAATGTGGTTTGTTTTTTGTCACCAATGGTATGCTACATTATAAGTCTTGAATAAAGTTTGTCTTTCATTCAGCAATCATTTAGTTACTGACAATCACATAAACATCCATCAAAGCTGCTTTGAACTTTTGTTCCTGAAGACAAATCTCAACCCAACCGGTTTGGTGAAACAATCAGAGCATATTTAGCTGCTTAACTGAGGCCAAATAAACAACTTCTCCTCAAACCTCAGAGCAAGTCAGTGTAGGAAGTGACTTATTGGACTCTGATAACCCAGAGATCAGCAAAAACATACTGACAGCAAAAAACACTGGCGCTCTGGATCAGATAAAACCTTGGCATGTCTACTATTGTTTGCCTTAACCAGCCAGTAACACCCGATCAGCTGTGCCGGCGATTTAAATCACAAAAAGACCGGCCTGATTCAACAGGACTTCTCTTTGACAAAGCATAATTCATCCCAAAAAAATGCAGCCGAAAACAAGAAAGGAATGTCAAGGGAAGGTGAAAGGTCACTGGAAGAATGTCATCAGTACTGTTGTTATTGCAAATGGATGTGCATAGCTATGTGTGTGTGTGAGCATGCAATGTTTTCCTCATTCCTACATAAAGGAAAATAAGCAGATGATCCATCAGTTTGATTCGGGTGCAATGCTTCTCATGTGCCTCATTCAGGTAACGTTTTTATTTTGGGTGTCTGAAAACAAGTTGCACATTTCCTGCAACAATCACAGTATGATTTGCGACAGGATATTGGCTTCAAATTAAGCTTATTATTGGCAAACTTAAACACTCAAGGTTTTTGTAAAATTATTTGACACCAATGAAGATTTATTTACTTTCAAACACAGGTTTGTAAATGGATTAATTACTGAACTTTGACTAGACCACTTTAACTCATGAATATGCTTTAACATAAGCCATTTGATAAGTTAAAGGTTAGTTCACCATTTTTATGAACTGCATTTGATCCACTGGAGTTCAAAACCTTCAATATTTGAACCTGAACTAGTTGATCTTCTACACTAAGTAGAGATTCTTGATTCGCAGCTTGAGATTTACAAAGCCATTATCCTGTTATTGAAAACACCAAAAAATATCATCTTAAGTGTTTAAGACTCCTACAGCATGGAAACCACAATGCATATGCAATAAGCCTGGCCTGTATTTATCTACACTGATTCTTTAAGGTTGTTTTGTACACCTTACAGTAAAGGTGGGTACAGTACAGTCCAGGACTGTACTGGGTTTACAGTACAGTCCAGTACTATACTGGGTTTACAGTCCAGTAGAACTCGAATCAGTAAACCCTGGTCCGAGTTTGCTTTAATAATACCAGCAGTGGTACTAAACTTTCATCTGACCACATTTCTTTACTCACATTTAATTCACACTTCCTTCACATATGATCATTTCCCTTGTCAGTCTTACTTCATGTGTATTTGCATTGTGTTGTAGTCCACTTCCTGTATTAGAATCTGTGTAACAAGACCAAGTCCTACCTTTTAGGCAAACCAGATTTTACTTATTTCAACCAAACAGACCAGATTTTCCCAGAAAATGAAGCAGAGAGTGAGTCAATAGGGCTAAATCAAAGCATAGTCTTTGACTTTCTATGTAAAAATAAAAGTGGAGGCGTAGCAGGAGCTTTGCAGGGGCATTATTCATTTAAGAATCACAATTGTCTCCATACATCATGTTTTGTCTGTAGACCAAACATCTTAGTTTGACCAAAGAAAATTAACTTTTTTACGTTTGCCCTATTTGGCACCAAAATGTTGTTGAATATTTTTATGTGCTTAATGAACTTGCAGATGTAGTTTTTCCCAATTCCAAAGTTACCTGACAAAGGTATATTTATTTCCTTGTTTCTTTTTTATTTTGTTTTTCCATTTTTAAAAAAAATGTTCACCAAAAATGCCTTTTGGCAAACCATATAAGCAATAAAAATTTTGCAAGATATTAAATTTTACATAATTTAAGTTTAAAGATTAGATCAAGTGGAATGAAAACTGAAAAAAAAAATTCATTTGTAAAATGTACATTAAGCAAATCAGAGACAATCTGATGCATTGGCATAGCATTTTCGTTGGTAAATCTTGTCTCATACATCCAACTGGTTTATATGACAAATAGAAACTTTGCAACCTCAGTTAATAAGTAAGCAAAGTCCGCCTAAATTATTAAAACTTGCTGCTCTAAGCACATTATGTAAGATAGTTGTTTGCAGAAAAAAAAGTCCTGGTAAAGAGAAAGTGAGCAGATTTTATGCTTTTAGGATCTGCAGCATGGAACAAAATTAATGTCTTTGTAGATGGAAAAACAAATAGAAAAAATAAAAACCCTGGAGGAAAAGCAAATGTCTCTGAGAATGTAGGAAAACTGCTGCATAAATCAGCTGCAATAAAGCCTGTGTTCAGCACCATTAAACACTCATTAAATCATGCACTGCCACTTTAAGGCTTACCTCCAGGTAAGGTAGCAGATAATGTGGGATAGTAGCCAAGAACAATGTGTACTTAGTTAACTGTGAGTGTCTCCTGAGACCAGATGATGTGTTAACTCCTTGGAGGTAACGTTGCATGTGGGGTTGGGCGGTCACGGTGAGATTACAGTCTGGACATGGAAGTCCAGCAAGGTTGCTCTCTTGTCTGCTGCGGCTCATGGTCTGTGTCTTAAGAGGCTTTAACAGGCTTGGAAGGGATGAGCTGCCATCTGGCTAAATCCTGAACAGCCAGTCACATATGGTTGGTGGAAATATGTTGACATCGCTTATGTGATGCCTCCTGAAGCTCTTTCATCTTCTGTCTATATGAAGATGACTTTTCTTTTTTATAGTATCTATACCTGTCAAAAAGCTGTACCCAATCTGCCACTCATTCAATGAGTCAATCATCCGTTTTCTTTTTCCACCCTCGAAGAAGATCAGTGTTTCATCTGATTTGAGCTTAAAATCAACACTGCAAGGAGGCATACTAAGCTTTGTTCCTTATATCTGCAGCAAAGTTTCACACTGGTTTTATTTTCATTGTGCCATTATTTTTGACAAAGGAACAGAACAGAAATATCTCTATAGTTTTGCAGGTAGATGGATGTTTTAAACTGACTTCCAGCAAACAATGCTAAAGGCGGAAGATACTGGAAACATGGTGTTTGGATCAGAGAAAGCCATTGCCTGACAAGAACACGACTGCATGACAGTGCAATCTCTTTTGACATCACAGGAAGAAGCTTTGGGAACTCTTAGGATTTGTAAAACCCACCATATTTGTGAGTGTTCTAAGTTTAAAAGTGTAAAAATTGTTGCAAAAGATTCTAATTTGGAGGCAGAAACCAGGAAATGAGCTTGAACAGGGAAAGTGGTTTCCTGATGGGAAGACAACAAAGAACTAAACACAAGAACTTCTAGAAATGTAGGTAGAGACAAGAAATGCCTCTAATTATCAGTCAATCTAAACTATCTGTCATCTCCCTCAGGGAACTGCTCCTCTCTAAGCACCTCCTCCTGATGAACCTTAACAACTCCAGCTGCATTTGCTTGTCACACCCTGTAATGAGAAGAAGAAACACACAAATACCAATCTGCATACAACCCTTTAGACATAACCATATTGCCTTGTATAAAATCTATTATTCTTCTCAGCATGTTGCTGCTCTGCTTCAGAATACATTTAATGTTTTCAGAGTGACATGCAGTGTTAGTTATCCGATTGCTTGTAAAGTTCGTGAATGCATCATGAAATTCCTTTTCATATCCAACATTATAGATATTTAGATTAAGCAAAATATGTTCAGATGTTGTTGTGAAGATCCACCAAAGGGTCTTGCTCAGGTCTCTGCAAATGTTAGTTGGATCCCGGTGACACACAGTCATGCACAGAATTGATCAATACATAAAGGTTGGGCTGTAACTCTTTTGTCCTGTTACAGGTCACAAATCCAATGGAAAATTCAAGCTGGATTTGCATAATCAATGACCAGTAGCTCCCTAAATCTGCCTTGCAAAATATGTCAAGCTGTAGTAAAATCAAAGGGGATGCACGAGCTAATGGTTTTCCAGTGTAATCTCATAGATTGATCTTTGGGGTATGATAATAAAATGTTTACTGAGATAACAAGCCATTTTCAACTAGAATATATTTACAGCAGTTTAAATGAAAACATTCAACATGCCTGGAAAACGAGATGAAGTCTTCATCTGTCAAAAATAGAAAATTTGCACATGTGCCCTTATTTCTTCACATTAGTGAAAGTTTGAAAAAGTTCAGCCTCTCTTCAATTAAAGGCCTTTGCAAGTTGAGTTCAGGCCTCTGCTTAGACTGTCAGGACTGGGGGCTCGCGTCATGATTTTCTCTCGCTCTTCTGTTATTATTCTGTTTCCTCTGTGTGAACGGAAAGACCAAAATAACCCTGCTGAAATCTACAGCTCTCCAGGGGCAAAGCTTTTGTGTCAGAGCAAGTAAAAAAAAAAACAAGAGCAGAGCCAACTGAATGGGACACTACGAGTGCAACAGTTTCAAGGCCTCATGCGGCTCGGTCCATAGATACAGACACGGCTCATTAAATGGTCAGGCTGTGTGGAGTCCCACTGGGAAGTGTCAGATGAGACAATGAGCTGTTATTTTACAGATGAAACTGGGAGTTGCAGTCTGGCCTGAAGTTTAGTGACGAAATGGTTCTGCAAAGAGTGTGTGGGATGTGAGGATGG